CATCCAGCTCGCCCGCCGCATCCGCGGGGAGAGGGCATAAATTGCCGCCACCAGGTGCCAATATCAAACCCAAAGGCTCTTTTCAGAGCCACCTACTACTTCCCTTGGAAGAACTGTATCACAAAGGTAATATGGTAAGAAACCTCTAACAAAACCAGGTCGGAGCGGGGCATAACTCCACGTGCTCCATGTACCAATTCTATGAAAGGACAGTTGGCCTGCAACCTCATCCATGTAAGAACCGGGGATTGACACCTGAAACTAACATTGCAATCCATAAAGTTGAGAAACAGCGAGAACAGTGATGCGATCCTCTTAAACTCTAAAAATGATAGTGATCCTCCTCTATAAGCAGCAAATAGTGTGAAGATATTCTTAATATCAGTATAATAGGATGCATTATGAAAAGTAAATGCTAAGACACTTAATCCTCTATATACTAAAGATATATACTACCTGCTTTGGTTACTTCTGGGGTCTTATTTTTAACTAAGTGACTTACCTGTGTAAACAACACCACCCCCCCATCCCCCTCCCCAGCTCAGTTTGTTATCTCAGTTTAATTGTATTTTTCAGTCCCTGTCATGTTGGACTCTGCAATCCCATCAAGTGCAGCACTCCAGGCTTCCCTATCCTTCACTTATCTCCCAGTTTGCTGAAACTCGTCCATTGAGTCAGTGATGCCACCCAACCATCTCATCCTCTGTTGTCCTGTTCTCAGTCTTTCCCAGCATCAGGGTCTTTTCCAGTGAGTCAGTTCTTCACATCAGGTGGCCAAAGTATTGGAGCTTCAGCTTCAGCAACAGTCCTTCCAGTGAATTTTCAACACTGATTTTCTTTAGGATTGACTGGTTTAATCTTGCTGTTGAAGGGACTCTTGAGTCTTCTCCAGCACCACAGTACAACAGCATTGACTCAGGTGCTCAGCCTTCTTTATGGTCCAGTTCTTATATCTGTATGTGACTGCTGGAAAAACCATAGCTTTGACTGTACGAACCTTTGTCAGCAAAGTGATGTCTGCTTCCGAATAAGTTGTTTAGGTTTGTCATAGATTTTCTTCCAAGGAGTAAGCATTTTATAGTTTCATGGCTGCAATCAGTGCTGGCAGTGATTTTCCAGCCCAAGAAAATAAATTCTGTCGTTGTTTCCCCATCTATTTCCTTTGAAGTGCTCAGACTGGATGCCATGATCTTAGCTTTTTGAATGTTGACTTTGAAATCTACTTCACTTTCCTCTTTCACCCTCATCAAGAGGCTCTTTGGTTCCTCTTCGCTTTCTGCCATTACAGTGGTATCATTTGCATATCTTAGGTTGATTTTTCTCCCAGCAATCTTGATTCCAGCTTGTGGTTCATTCAGCCTGGCATTTCACATGATGTACTCTGCACAAAAGTTAGATAAGCAGGGTGACAATATACAGCCTTGACATACTCCTTTCCCAATTTTGAACCAGTCTGTTGTTCAGGTCCAGTTCTAACTGTTGCTTCTTTTCCTGCATACAAGTTTCTCAGGAGACAGGTACGGTGGTCTGGTATTGCCATCTCTTTAAGAATTTTCCACAGTTTGTTGTAACTGACAAAAGGGGTTTACTGAAATCAATGAAGCAGAAGTAGGTATTTTCTTTGGGATTTTTCTTCTTTTTCTGTGATCCAATGGATGTTGGCAATTTGATCTCTGGTTCCTCTGCCTTTTCTAAATCCAGCTTGTACATCTGGAAGTTCTTGGTTCACATAAAAGAAGCCTAGCTTGAAGGATTTTTAGCATTAACTTGCTAGCTTGGCAATGAGCAAAATTGCATGGTAGTTTGAACATTCTTTGGCATTGCCTTTCTTTGGTATTGAAATGAAAACAGACTTTTTCCAGTCTTGTAACCACTGCTTAATTTTCCAAATTTGCTGGCATATTGAGGGCAGCACGTTAACAGCATTATCTTTTAGGATTTCAAATAGCTCAGCTGGAAATCTACCACCTTCACTAGCTTTGTTTGTAGTAATTGAATTATTAGATCAGGCAAATAGTTGAAATTTTCCTGTCCCTGAGACAGGAAGTCCAGGGATGATGTAGTATATGATGAAAAGCACTGGTCCTTGAGTAGCCGGAAAGTGGCATGCACACACACTGATATTCAAGGACCCATGCTGAGTACTACTGGAGACTAGTTCGCTGCTAATCCATTTGTTTTTGTGCTGCACAATACATCATTTGGTAAATGTAGTCATTCTTTCTGTACTAAAAATAGATATCTGGTATCCAAAACATTGGTTCCGTGGGATTTCTAGAATTCAGTTTCTAGCAGCACCCCCAGCTGAGTGCACAGCGGTGCTGTTAGTGATGCAGATGGGGAGAGCATAAGTTCACCAAATCTGGGGCCCGGACTAATAAGTATGTTCAGCACACCAGGAATTTAGAGCAGGAAGTTACTGGAAACTCAGATTGTACATAATGTGTCTGCACTCTGCATGAAAAGCATGATGTAGTCACTAAAGCAGAGTTTGCAGTCATCGCTTATTATTAATCCTCAGAAAAAGAGCCGATGAGACAACAGCGCCGAACTTTCTTCCGACAAAGGCAGAATCCTAGGATAAACACTGGAGCAATGCAAGATTTGTGGATTCTGTCAGGTTTTATAGACAATAGCAATGGGAACTCCCAGCCTTATTGCTGGGTTTACTCCTAGCCTGGGGAGATTAAGCAACACTAGAGGCTCTTGAGGCCCTAAGCAAATAGTTCTGCATAGCATTGAAAGTATTAGTCCCCTGGAGGAACCAAAGAATCTGGACACCAACAGTTTAATTATTAAACATTACAGACTGTTGTGGAGCAAGTCCTCACCTATGGAAACCAGAAGTCAGATTTCAGAAACAGCTGGAATAGCTCTGTGCAATGTTTTTGAATCTTGAAACAAACTTTCAAGAGATAATGACAATGCTGTGTGATTTTTGTGTGCTGACTGAAAGGCCTGTTAGCCTCCCGGTCATCATAGCAGCATTTCTGCCATTTAATAAAAAAAAATGTAATTTTCAGGTGGCATGCAGGATATACTAAAAGCAAACCAAATGGGGTGGGGGTGGCTGGGGAGAAAGAAAACTGTTCATAACAGCTTCATTTATAAATTAGAAACAAGTTCGTATCTTTCAACTGGTCATTGGTTATATTATTTCTCAGACACCCATACAATGGCATCCTACTAAGCAATAAAATGAGAAGCTATTGATATTAATACATGCAACTGTCTACGTGGATAATGCTTAGTAAAAAAGCCAATCTTAAAAAGTTATATATTGTATTATTCCATTTATATAAGATTCTCAAAGTGATGATACTGAGATGAATAACAGATTAGTGATTGCCCCAAGACAGGGAAGAAGATGTGGGTGGATGTAAGTATAAAACACTAACATTGAAGAGTTCCTTGGTAATAATAGAATAGCTTTGTGTCAAAGTTGAGGTGATAGTTACATGAACCAATGCATGGTTTAAAATGGCATGAGACTACACACACACACACACACACACACACACACACGCGCGCACAGAGGCAATATGAAAATCTGTGAGAGCTGAATAAGGCCTGTATGCTAGTTAACAGTACTTTGCCAGTGTCAATTACCGGCTTTGATATTATGATATAGTTATATAAGATGTCACCATTAGGGGAAAATTGGCTAGAGGAACTCTAGATACTATTGTAGCAACTTTTTGTGAATTTTGTTATTTCAAAACTTTTATTTGACAGTGTAAAAAAAGCTGTGATAATTCTTTAGGAGTTGCTACTGTGTGTGTATTTCTGTGAATTTCAAGGCTTGTTTAACAAATTAATGTTCTTTTTTGGATATGTTTGTTTCGTTTTTCTTAAACAGCAATGTTTTCCTTTCTTCTGCCTGTTTTAGTGATGATATGTCCACTGAATTGAAATTTGGTTCATTTATGTTGGTGTGTGATTTTTTTTTAGCTATTGGTGCTGCTACCTCAAAATAAATTGTTCTGAAATTTGACATTCATAATCTCAAATTTTCTGATGGAGCACTTGGCTGAGCTAATCTATACTCTTTAGGGCAGTGTGCTTGGTATATCATAAGTGTGAATTTTAAAAATGCTTTTTTGAACATTCTATTTGTTTTAAGGGCATCATTTAAATCAGTGCTCCCATGTGCTCAGCAAAAAGAAAAAAAATTTTTTTAAATAATATAAAAACCTAGGAAAGCTCACATTTTTATTTCTGGCACTTGTGTAAATTTCTTTGCCCACCACTGGAGTTTATGATATCTTTGCTTGAATTCCATGCACCAGCTACAGGAAAGGACAATCACCCTTTCACTCTCTGTCCTCTACACAAGAAGAGGTTATTAGCCCCTGACAATTTGCATTCTTTTCCTTGGCAATCCTTCACTGGTTAAATGTGTATGCTTAATTTGTATAAATTAAAGGACACTGTACAAACTAGTAGTATATTAGAAAGTTTTGAAATCTTTCAATGTGTGTTAGCTATTATACTTTGTTTTCAGTAAGATTCCAGGAACTTATTGTTCGCCAACTAGATGCTATTTTGTTTACAATAACTCAGTTATTAATAGCATTTATCCTATTTTACGAAAAAAGCTGCTAAGATTCAGATATATTAATGGAGTGTCTGCGTGGTCAGTCTTGTCGGACTGTTTGCCCCTTTATAGACTGTAGCTCACCAGGCTCCTCTGTCCATGGGATTTCCCAGGCAAGAATACTGGAATGGGTTGTCATTTCCTTCTCCAGGGGATCTCTCCGACCGACCCAACCCTTGTTTACTGCACTGCAGACGGATTCTTTACCTCTGAGCCATTTTCTAAATAGCAGTAAATCTCCCTAGCCTGTTTCACTTTAAATTTTAGAAGGGGCGGGGACTCGGTGCAGTTTCCCGCCTTTCTGATCATCCAGTTTTCACAAAGGTCCGCACTATCGCTACATAATAGGCTGCAGGGCCTTGTATTAGGCACGTTTGGCGTTGGTGCTCAGTATTTAGGAAACATGTCTGGACGAGGTAAAGGCGGAAAGGGCCTTGGAAAGGGGGGCGCTAAGCGTCACCGCAAGGTTTTGCGCGACAATATCCAGGGCATCACAAAGCCGGCCATTCGCCGCCTGGCCCGCCGTGGAGGAGTCAAGCGCATCTCTGGCCTTATCTACGAGGAGACTCGCGGGGTGCTGAAGGTGTTCCTGGAGAACGTGATCCGGGACGCGGTCACCTACACCGAGCACGCCAAGCGCAAGACTGTCACCGCCATGGACGTGGTCTACGCGCTGAAGCGTCAGGGCCGCACTCTCTACGGATTTGGTGGTTAAGTTTGCGCTTTGTGAGGCTCTTGTAGCAAAGCTAAAGGCCCTTTTCAGGGCCACCTACTTTCTCTATGAAAGAGCTTGCATTTGGGTGTTCTGTAGGTTAGCCTGATACAATACAGATGGTAAATTATACATAAATAATACTTTTGGCCTTAGTGTTTGTAGTACTACTTTAATTCCTACTGTATTTCCTAGGAATTGTTCACCTGGGACCAATAGGTGTCTAGTGACTAAATAATGGTCCTCCAACTGGTAAGTGAAGGTTCATGGGTTCTTTGAGTAGAAAAAATTGGGGGCTCTTTCAAACACCATTAGATGGTAGCTGTTACGTTATTTCTGTAATTACACTAATGAAAAAACAGTAAAGGAATTTTAGGGTAGGTAATGGTAGAAAAAGAAGGGTTAATTTCACAATGCAGATTTCTCTACTTAAAGTATATCTCTGTCATAATGCTATTTTTCTCTGGTACATTGGAGTTTGATTCTGTGCGTTTAGGACAAAAATGAAAGGTAAGAGTGCCTTTTTGCACCTGTTTTTCAAGTCCTTTTAGCTCATGCCAAAAGCAATTTTATGGTGGCAGTTTCACCTTCAAGTGCACCACACAACTCTCCCAGAGGTCATTAAAATGTTTTAGAATTTTGAATTAATGTTGCAAAAGGCACAGGGAAAGAGATGGGGTTGCACGGCATCCTCAGGATAAGACAAATAGGTGGGAGGTCCTGCTAGATGAATCTTGTCCTAGCACAATGTTCATACATCTTTTGCTCTCTGCCTCATTAGCCTTCCTGTGTGATGATGGGCTTCTGAGGATCAGAGTTAAGTTGAACAAGAGGACTGAGCAGGTCCAAGGTAGCTGGGTCTGATCATGTGGGTATTTTTGCTTGGTCTATAGTTGTCACTCACCAATGGGTTTTATCTGCATGCCATGGGTAGGGGACAACTGACTTCAGGTTTCTTAAATATGAGATGCCTCATAGATGCTGAGTTCTTTATGTGCCTCATGAGTGTGTGGTGCCTGTTTTGTCCTTGAATCCCATCCTCTGTGTTTAGAACACATTTATCTCTGAGTCCAATATATACTTAGTATCCTTTGCAGAACTGAACACTCTTCAATAACATAGTGAATCTCCTGCCTCCTCTCCACTCTGCTCTTTCCTCGGCCTAACACTTGCTACTCCTTCTGGGCCCATGTCCCATATGACCTTCTTTCTCATACCCTCATTGCTACTTTGCCTGCAAATGGCTCTAATAATAAAATCTCTCACCATCAGTGTCCCTGCTTGAGCATATTCAATGTTAGTTTTCTGAACACAGCGTTGGAAGAGGCAATCTGCTTTGAGAGTTCCTGCCTGTTTACTGGGTGTCTCAAGAATGCTACTCATCAGGGATGAGGGACCTTAAAGAATAGGGTAGTGGTTGCCCCCAGACAAACAGCAGGTTTGCTTGCCACCCTCACTTTAAGCCACCAGAGCCCCCAGCTGTCCTGTGGCTGTGATGCAAACACACTGTGCATGCAGCATCCACTTGGGCCCCTCCAGGTCGCCCCTGTGGGAACTGGTGGGCAAGGTGAACCAATGCAACCTAGTTGCTGCTGTGCTGTGAATAATAAAACCTCTGGTCTCTGAGCTAGGTGTTGTGTCTACTACCTGCAGTCATGAAAAAGTTACAAGCTATCTTATTATCTCCTAAGTAGGGTAAGATCTCAGACTCTACAATTTCTGACAAAAAGTGAAGAAGAAGAATAGGAAGGAGAAGAGGAAGAATGAAACCAGGAGGAGGTGGAGGAGGAAGGGAGTGGGGGTGGTGGCAGCGGTGGGGAGAGAGGCGAGCTCTCTGCTCCTCTTGGTGGCACAGTCAGGCCTGGAATAAAAGTTAGGCTCTCTGGACTCGGAATCTCTCTTCCTATAGGGAATAATGAAATCTGCTGTGGGAGGAAGAGACCATAGATCGGGAATAATGCAGGTAGAGAGACCTCTCAGGCCACTATAGGGATTGGAAAGCTGTGTAGGAGGAGTGAAACTTTCTTCTACCCTTTTAGGGTTTCTAGCCAGGCTTGAGAATTTAGTTGACCTAAGAGATTAATAGCAGAAAAGAATGCAAATTTTATTTAATATTATTATATGTATATGGGAGTCTTCACAGGAAAATGATGATCTAAAAAGCAGTTAGGCCTAAGTGTTTAGTTTGTACAAAGAGTAGTAATTGTGAAATAGCAACTAACATACATGAGGAGACTAAGGGAACATAAGGATTATTTTAACAAGGTGTGTTTGTACAGATTTCTCTTATCCTGGACTCCCCATTTTTGGTGACAAGATTGTTTATTTTTTCCTGGTAAAGGGATGGCACCTTTCACATGGGATAATTATCTGCTTTGGGGAAGAAAAAGGGAAGTCAGTGCCCCATTCTTACATCAGTTGTTCTTCAAGTTCCTTGGCTGAAAATAGTTTTCATGCCATAGTGGGATATTTTGGAGTGGCATAGTCTCCGTTATAGTTGATATTCAATTATTTTTTGGGTGCCATGTGTCTTACCATTTTTTTTTTTTTTTTTTTTTTTGCTGTCTTACCATTTATGGCACATTCTGGAAGAGATGGCTCAAGGAAGGTCTACAAGTTGATAACGGAGAGCAAGTTTGTTGTGTGGGACAAATCACAAACGAGGAATAGGAGCCAGAGAAGCAAACGGAGAAACATCACGGAGAACATAGGATCTTGGTGAGGAAAGGTACAACAAAACACTGTGAGAAGGTTATGAAGTAATAAACAGTCTCATGTAGCAAGATTAGAAATGCAGTTTTAGATTCACCCATTCGAAGGTCTCTGAGAACTATGGGAAGGATATTTTCCCCCCGTGAATAACAAGGCCGGTTAGCTCAGTTGGTTAGAGCGTGGTGCTAATAACGCCAAGGTCGCGGGTTCGATCCCCGTACGGGCCAGTCTCTCCAGTGACTAGGAGGCCGACAACTGTTTTCTGTGGGAATTTGCCTCTTAACCTACACAGACCTGGGAGTAGAGTAGGGAGACCTACTCTTTGCTATCTCTCGGACCGTAGGACTCCAGGCTTCTCTGACCAGCACTGTGTCCGGGAGAATGCTGTTTAACTGCTCATCCTTTGGCGCTCCCTCCTCCCTTGGGCTTCCCACGTGGCTCAGTGGTAAAACAAACTGCCTGCTAAGGCCGGAGTGGCTGGCGACCCCAAGTTCGATCCTTGGGTTCGGAAGATCCCCTAGAGAAAGAAATGGCAACTCCCTCCAGTATTCTTGCTTTTGCCTGGAAAATCCCATGGGCTAGAGGAACCACCATGAAAAGATATGCAGACAGTGACTCCAGGTTATCCAAGGCTAGGAGATTTCATAAATGGGAAGGATCTAGTAAGTGACAGACACTGAAACATACACGGGAAGGAGTTAGTATGAAGAGTAATATTAAAAAATTTAAGCTGGGACTTCACTATTGTTAAATAAGGATGACCAAGTTATTCGTTGTCCAACCAAATAAGTTATTGAGAGTGGAAGTAGGCTCCATTAATATCTATCTTCAGAAAACAGGCACAGAGTGAAACTGTCCCTGGATGTGTTCACCCACACCAGTGTTTCCACTGACACAAATACAAGTCCTCAGGGAGTGAAAGATTTAGAACGCAGGTGGTAGGGAGGTCTGAAGACAATCTCTTCTGCCTAGTGGGAAAATAGGGCGGTAAGGATACAGTAAGATGAGGTGGGAAGGCCATAGGTTGACCTAACGCAGGAATTTAAGGCACATTATTAATATTTTGGAAATAAAGTATTAAGATGACTGATGACCTCTTAAGTCATGTTACATTTCTAACGAGTCCTTCAAGACTGCATTGGGTAAGGCTAAATTTTAATTGTTCCTCCCACCCGGGTTTATTAGCTATGGATCCATCTGTCTACAGCTATCTGTAAGGTTCCTGAGATCAGTCCTGGGTGTTCATTGGAAGGACTGATGCTGAAGCTGAAACTCCAATACTTCATGCCACCTCATGCGAAAAGTTGACTCATTGTAAAAGACCCTGATGCTGGGAGGGATTGGAGGCAGAAGGGGACAACAGAGGATGAAATGGCTGGATGGCATCACCAACTCGATGGGCATGAGTTTGAGGAAACTCCGGGAGTTTGTGATGGACAGGGAGGCCTCGCGTGCTGCTATTCACAGGGTTGCAGACTCGGACACGACTGAGCAACTGAACTGAACAGAACTGAACGTTTCCTGTAGGAGGGAGGCTGTTTCAGGTGCCCTCTACAGGACACTAAGAGCTGGGTCCGTGGAACATTCTAGCAAAGTTAATTTTAACATTTGTGGAATGAGATTAATTCAAACACTTCGAAATTAGAAAACTAACTTCTAACTACAATCCACTCGGATTGAAGAAAAAAAAAATACCCAGCAGCCCCACTGCCCGAGGTTTTCTTCGGCCTTGTTCTATTAACATGTCTGAGAGCCGCCATCTTGAGACATCAAACTTGGGGGGGAAAGAAAAACAATGACTAGCTTGTAGTCAAACCGCAAATCTTTTGCCCCTGGACACCAAGCATAATGCCTCTGGCTTATTCACTTGTATGCAACAGCCCTTCTCATGACCACGTGGGTGGCCCTGAAAAGGGCCGTTTTGTGAGAAACAGAAGCTTCGTAAGTAACTACAGAGCAGGTTAGCCGCCGAAGCCATAGAGGGTGCGTCCTTGGCGCTTGAGCGCGTAGACCACGTCCATGGCGGTGACAGTCTTGCGCTTGGCGTGCTCGGTGTAGGTGACCGCGTCCCGGATCACGTTCTCCAGAAACACCTTCAGCACGCCGCGAGTCTCCTCGTAGATGAGCCCAGAGATGCGCTTCACACCACCGCGACGAGCCAAGCGGCGAATGGCCGGCTTTGTAATGCCTTGGATGTTGTCCCGCAGAACCTTGCGGTGGCGTTTAGCGCCTCCTTTTCCGAGCCCCTTTCCTCCTTTGCCTCTACCAGACATGATGAAAAGCAACTACTGTCTTTTGCCAATACTCGAGCGCCAGATGCAGCCCTCTATATAGCAGTTTTGCGGACCTTTTAGGAAACTGAAACAGCGAGGGCGGGAACTAGACTTCTGCCCCCGCCTCTTCCCTACCTTACTGGGTGTTTGCTACTGCCAAGAAGGGAAGGGGGCGTGGAAATGCTGTTGGGTGTCTGACCCTCCTGTTTCCTGGTTGGGGTCCAGAGTCGCTGGTTTTGTGGTCTCTAGACATGTCCCTGTGGGTTTTCTCAATTAATATTGTACAAGTTTCCTCACCATTTTTATTATTTAATAGAAGGAGGCTGTTCTGCCATATCTGTCTATAAAAGGGGGAGAAAGCAGAATAAAACTAATTGTAAATGTAAATGGGAAGATAATTTAAAAAATGTATTTCTTAAAAACCCTAGCAATACTTTAAAAATTTGGCTGATCGTCAACGTTTCCGTTTGCTAAAGCTTTAGATGTACATCGTTTCAACATTCCTGATAAAGCGGGAGCTTTAGGAAGGGGAGAAAAGTTAGTTGAATTTCTACTCTATGCTGGAAAAGCACTATTTACATTGTGAACATGAAGAATCCAAGGCTTGAAGACCTAATTCTGTTCTAATAAGTAGCATTGTTGGGGTTAGAACTGATGCTTTCTGATTTTGGGGTCTAATGTCCTTGCCATCTACCACGAATCTATGTCAGTGAAGTATTGCAGATACAGCATGATGAATTGTGGTGGTGGGTTAGTGACTAAGTCATGTCCAACTCTTTCGAGCCCATGGATGTAGCCCTCGAGGCTCCTCTCCATGGGATTTCCCTGGCAAGAATACTGCAGTGGGTTGCCACAGAATAGGAATTTGGAAATTAACCGCATTTTAAAAATTATTGACCGAAATGCTGTTCATGTTAAAAGGATAACTGAAGTTCAACACCAATGATAGGTATTGATAAGTTTACTAGGCAGATGCTAATATTTACTCACATTCCACAAATTCACATTGAATGCCTTTCATGTAACTACAGAGGTCGAGGTTGTTAAGAAAAAACTCCTTTCTTTGCTGGTGTTTACCATATAGGCAGTTAGAGGATTATTATTTCCTGAGTTACAAACTTTTGAGATTTATTTCAGGTGTGCTTACCTGTGGATTTAGACAATTTGTTCTCCCACGCTCTCCTTTTTGAGAAAGGCACTAAACAAGAATCATTGATTATCCATTCAACAATTCAGGGTCTATTAAATCCTAAATGCCCATGTACAAACAGTGCATAGTCGCAGGAGACACAGATTTGATCTTGAGTCAGGAAGATCTGTTGGAGTAGGAAATGGCAACCCACTGCAGTATTCTTGCCTTTGGGAAATCTCACAGACAGAGGACCCTGGCGGGCTGCAGTCCATGATGTCACAAAGAGTCAGACATGAACGGTCCAGTAGGCCGGCTCAGAAGCTTAGACTTAGAGAATTTCAGGATCAACCCCAAGTCTACTGAAGTGATACAGCATTTTAAACAATATCTCTAAGTGGGTCGTTTGCTCAAACCACTTGGCCGGTTTGAGAGAGTTGTTTTAGAGCTGTGGTTTCCCACATTAGCCACTAGCCACATGTGCTCATTTAAATTTAAATTAGTGACAATGAAATCAAATTAAAGAAATAATTTCTTCAGTCACTAACTACTGTTTAATAGGTGCTCAATAGCCACAGGTAAGTGTAGTGGTTGTGCAGATACAAACACTTCTATCATTGTAGTATGTTGTTTTAGGCTGTAATTTGATAGAAAATTTCTTCTGGAGAACTTCTAGCCCAGTCTGAGAAATGGAGTGTGGTAGATTATGAGAATGAGACTTGATGCCGGAACTGAGGATTGGCGTATTTTTGAAGTATAACAGAAATTAGTTAACTTCTAGATGTATCAGATATTACAGATAGAAGGACATTTAAAGAAGGAAATTGGAAATTTGAGCATAGTAATGTTGTTTTAGGAAATTAATAATATATATTTATGCTTGGAGGGGATTTTCAAGCAGGAGCATGTCCTCAGGTGAGATCATCTGACAAAATTAAAATGGATGTGATTTCTCATTACCTTTCTGAACACATGATTATAACACAATGCTCTATTTGTTATACAGCCCTTATTTTAAATTTGGCCTTTTTGATATTTAGTAAACACAGTCACTTTTTTCCTTAAATTTTTGAAAGTTAATGAATTTTAGAATGCTTACATACAGCCCCCATGACTTGCCCTGGTCCATACTACCTATATCTTTTACGGTCACTGGCTATGGTTGAGTGGGATGTTGACGCCAAAATTGAGAGGACATGAAGTTGTGAGATGTCCATTACTCGTCTCACTTTAGTTTTTCTTATTTAGTTTTTACATCTGTAAAAATAGTCGAATTGTTAGTCAGGCAGAAAAATTCACGGTTTTAGGATCTATGTAGATTTAGGATTGAAAAGTAATAAACACAAGGTTGTTTTTTTTTTTTTTGTGGGCTATAAGTAATAGGAGAAACTTTTCAAATTTACAGTCCCATGGGGATGATCCTGCTTTCAAGAACCTTGTCCACACTATAGTTAGAGTGTAAGTACTTGGGTCTCAAGCAATAACAGTATCTATATGCAGCACAGCTCCATCATTCTATAAACATCTGGGGAAGAACTTTTCAGGTGAAATCATGTCTCAATTATTGTCCTCTAGGAAACGCAGAGATCTATAAACCATGAAGGGAATGGCCCTGACCCAATATCTTCTCACTTATTTGGTACCTAAATATGCATGGAACCAACAGTAGTTGTATAAAAAAGAAATTATGACATCTGCTGTAGGAAGAACTTTTCACCTATCTTAAACTGAGTACATATAACTTAGGGAACAAGTTCAACAAGTATCCAACAAATGATATTATGACTACAATGATTATCAAAATAGTAAAGTTTTAAACATCTGAATTTTACTTGTATCTTGAGGACTGATAGTATTAGGCGCTGGCCTGAAAAGGAATAGGGCCTATATAATGTGCTTGAAAAGGAAAGGGGCCTATATTACTGTTACTGTTGCTATTGACTGTGGTATCATTGAGGATGACAAGTAGCCCTTCTTTCCAGACACTTATAAAATACCTGTCCTGGGGAAATTGGAATGTTCCATAGCCAAAATTATAAGCTTCCCTCTTTATACACTGTATTTGTATTTGGTATATATCATGGTCTCAAGTCCCAGAGATTTAGTTTTAGACAGTGACAGTCCACAATAACTATTGAAAAACAAACCAAGTGATTTCTCTGTAATTAGTTAAGTATGGAGAGATGACATCTTTAAAACTGATTATCCTGTCTTGGAGTTATATGAGAAAATACTCAAGTTACTATTGAACGTAGGCCAGAATAACTAGATTTTTGAAAGTAGGGATATTTACTAGAAAAAAAATTACAACACCAAAATATCTTTCCTGTTTATTTACTTTGACAAACATGAGGCTTGGTTTCAGTATTTGATTATTTGATAGATACTAATTTTGTGCTTAATAATCCCGTATTTATGCAATTCCATTAGTTCTGCATGTTACAAAGAGATGGAGTAAATCAGCCATATTTGCTATGAAATGTTACTTCAGCTCCTTAGGTGAACATATTCAGCCAATTAATTTAGGTTGTGACAGTCAGCTTTGTATTTTGCCAGTAAAAACTCAAGGAAAGTTATGAAGACTCAGGAAGTGATTTAAAGGAGAATTTTTTCTTCTAACCCTCTGTGTGCCTATTTGCAATGTTGAAAACAGTTAAGTCAAATATGTATTTTAAGCATCATTCTGGAATACAGGAAATATGTACACAATTGTATGCTAAATATTGGAGAAAAAAGGCAAAGGGATAGATTGTCATTAAGCAATTTACAATATTAACCCAGGTGTCTGTCTTTTGAGCTTAGAGCTGGTTAATTGTTATAGACTGCCATTCTAGGTCTTCATGATTTCACTTTTCTTCATTGAGGATGGCATGAGGGATTTCTAATGCCTATTTTGGGTCTAAAAAATCTGTTACACTAAGTTTGAAAGAAGGTTTTAAAGACTCTGTTTAGGGCTATTTATCTAGAAAAACAAACGGAGCAGCCCCACTCCCCATCCTTCCAAAAAACCAGTTAAAATCACGAAACACTGCAATCAAACCCAGTTTATAGTCTCGCACTCATAAACTTTTGTAAAAAGTCTATTTTTGCTAAAATAGTTATCCATCTTGTACGTAGAATTTTCTACCCCAGTGCCAATTCCCAGTGCTTAGTGCAAACAAGTTGCAGGAGAGCTGTGCTATTGCTCCCGCGAAAAAACCGATTTTCCTTGTATATTTCAGTAAAAATGAGGTTATTTATATAGGGTTGAAAAGAAAACAATGTGTATGACAATGCCCTGGGAGAAAGATTTGCAAAGGAAACAGAGAGAACTAGTAATTTTAAGGAAAATCTGAAAGTTGTCTCAATTTGACCGAAGTTTCCAAGAGAGTTGGGGGAATCAGGAAAGTTTCAGGGAGCCAGTTTTGAAACTAGGTATAGCAAATAAGGCAGAAATGAAGCCTGAAGGGTCTCGGATCAGTTTCCCCCACATGCCTAATTATTTCGTGCCCAGATTTCTTATATTTTTCTTCTTTTTTGAGGGGCAAAAAACACAGCCACTCGGCAGAGCCGAGGAATCCTCCCTAGCCGCGCGGCGCACAGAGCAGGCAACCAATCATCACTCAGCAACTCTCTATATAAACCCCCAGCCGGCGGCGCCCGGGACACGCCGTTCTGACAGTTTACGCTTAGTTTTTTGTCTTTCCTGGCTAAACAGAAGCATGTCGGAGACGGCTCCGGTTGCTCCTGCTGCTCCCGCACCTGCAGAAAAAACACCTGTTAAGAAGAAGACAAAGAAATCCGGCGCGGCCGCTGGAAAGCGTAAGGCGTCTGGGCCCCCAGTGTCGGAGCTCATCACCAAGGCTGTCGCTGCCTCCAAGGAGCGCAGCGGCGTGTCTCTGGCTGCGCTCAAGAAGGCACTGGCGGCCGCCGGCTACGATGTGGAGAAGAACAACAGCCGCATCAAGCTGGGTCTTAAAAGCCTGGTGAGCAAGGGCACCCTGGTTCAGACCAAGGGCACCGGGGCTTCCGGCTCTTTCAAGCTCAACAAGAAGGCGGCCACCGGGGAAGCTAAGCCCAAGGCGAAGAAGGCAGGCGCGACCAAGCCCAAGAAGGCTGCGGGGGCGGCTAAGAAGCCCAAGAAAGCCACGGGTGCGGCCACTCCGAAGAAGGCTGCCAAGAAGACCCCTAAGAAAGCCAAGAAGCCGGCGGCGGCTGCTGGGGCCAAGAAAGTAGCCAAGAGCCCGAAGAAGGCGAAGGCAGCCAAACCGAAGAAGCCGACCAAGAGTCCGGCCAAGGCCAAAGCCCCCAAGCCTAAAGCAGCCAAGCCTAAAGCTGCCAAACCCAAGGCTACAAAGGCCAAGAAGGCGGTCTCCAAGAAGAAGTAAATCTTGAGTGGCACCTCCTGCTTTGAAAATCTCAAAGGCTCTTTTCAGAGCCACCCACTAATTTCAGGTGAAAGAGCTTAACCGGACATACATCTCTAGGTTTACCAACGAGTTTTGTAATAAAGGTAATTCCTTTTTTTTAAATTTGCCGCTCTACTGTGATTGGCCAACTGCGTGTGCGTCCGGGTGCGCGCGCACCACAGCATCTGCACCATGATGGTGGTCACAGTCCTCTTGTGCGAGCGCAGTGCTTCTGAAAAGCGCCACTTGTGATGGCTCTGGGCCTTAGCAGAGATGTTGAGCAGGACGCTGCACTGTGCGATGGTAACGCGACCCCGAAGTTCCTCGATGGAAGATTTTAAGCTTTGGGGGTGGGGTGGGTAGTGTAGGTCTTGTGGTGGGCCCCGTTCCCCGCCAGTTCCAGTATTTCTGCCTTGTGCTCCAGCACCGCGGTCTGTTACATCGGGACCCCGGAGTCGACCCGGTCGGAGTAGTTATCCTAGGGGGATGCACGCGGCCTTTGGGATCCTCGAGGAGCTGCTTTTTGGCCTCTGCTCGCGCTCTGCCTCCCTGTCTTCCTCCATATTTGTTAGGGGAAAAGTGCAACCTGAAGAATGGGTTATTACAGCCTGGATGTTTGTAACGTTTTCTTTCCCATTGGTTTGTAGAGTCTAAGGAGAATTAGCCAATCAGGACGTACTCCTGGGCTTATTTGCTTGGTCTCCAGGAAAAAATACTGCGTCAATTAAAGATTGAGATATAGGAACTTGTGTATAGTTTGAAGCAGTTGAAAAGCTTGCATTTTTCCCCCTCCTTCATGAATGTAGTCCTATTCGATGGGATTTTGATACTATTGATATTCTGCCTGAATCTGCATAATTGTTCCTACTATGCTGACAGTGTGAACTGCTCAGTCGTCCGACTTTTTTGCGACCCCATGGACTGTAGCCCACCAGGCTCCTCTGTCCTTGGGATTTTCCAGGCAAAGATCCTGGAGTGGATTGCCATTTCGCTCTCCAGGGGATTTTACCGACTCAGGGATCGAACCCGTATCTCCTGCATTGTAGGCGGATTTTTTACAGCTGAGCCACGGAGGAGGCAACCCTAACATTAAGGTATAGTAAAAAAAAAAAAAGTTAAAATGTTAAAAAAAAATGTAAAAGCTACTCCTGGCAGTTTATAATTTAACCGTTTATGAAATTCTTTCCCGCTAAAATGTTGATAGGGGCCAGGGAGCCATGGTTGGCAATCTCATATCTTTTGGTGGATAAGTAATAAATAGGGAGATAGAAATAATTAAGCTTTGGGAAACGCAAGGAGAATGCTTAGAGTGCTCCTCGAGCCGCACTAACCAGGGCAAAATAAATGGCTCTAGGAATGTTTCGCTATTTCCACTTTATCCTGTTTTTAATTTCCGTGGAGTGCCACTGATTTATTGATGAATCTTGAGAAAAATCTCAGTTCTGTAGGCCATTAAGGGGTTGTAAACATGGATGGGGAAAAATTACATCTTATTATAGCAAACTAAATGCAGTTAAGCATTTCCTTTTAGTATGTCTGTAAGCACAGGCAGTTCCTCACAATGGACTTTGCAGACCTTATTGAATTTTTCAACTGTGGCTGTCACAGATGTTTTTATGTCACTTTGATGAAGATATCTTGAAATTTGACGTCATTCTGAGTCCTTGAAATTGACATTTGTTATTCCACTTGTTGCTCCTTGTTATTTGATATGACTAATGAAGCACATTATATGTATTTAAATACATTTTAAAATTATATTTTAATATGCCTGTCTTATCCTGTGTTGGTATCCTAAAAGATGATATTAAAAAGATGTTTATAGGTTTCCCCAGGGTGTCCATAGAGTCTGCCATACAAGTCATGAGTCCCTGAGCAAATTGTCAGTGGGCAAATACCTCATGGTTGAAAAGCTTCATCTTATTTATTTGCTTACAGCATACCCCCCACCCCCAAACACACACACACATACACTACACACACATCCCTTACTGGTTACTAGTTTATTCAATTTTAGTTTTTCAATTTTAAAGATAAAAAATGTAGCCCGTGATTATCTTTCTAGCTTTTCTAAATGAGATTTTATTTTTCATCCATTGCAGTTGCATTCCATACTTTATTCTTTATAGAAAGAGCCAAAAACCCTGTCTCTTAGGAGAGTGGTTTGGTTGAAAAGGATATTTGGATAAATGGGAATATGTGATATGGTTACTCAAGTCTTTTTGAATATAATAGATTGCACCAAGGGGGAAAGTTAAGAGGGAAGAGAACTGTGAGGTCTTTATTACCAGAATGAGTTTGGCTTTTGATGAAGAATGATGAGGAATAAGAATTATGTGGGAATGTGACATTCAATAAGAGTGGTACTATACAGTATCTGTAGTTAATTACATTTTACAAAGCCCTCCGATGCCTACCTCACTATAAAGCTCTTGCAGTCGGTATAGCTAAAGTCCTTGTTTTATGTTATTATTAGTGTGTACCAGGTGTCTTTTGGGATCTTAGTTCCCCAAGCAGGGATTGAACCCAGCTTTTGCTGTGAAACACCAAGTCCCAACCACTGGACTAAAAGGGAATTCCCAATGCTATGTGTTTTACAGTTATGAAAATTGTGCCTTAGAAAGATGAATGGCCAGCATCGTCTTGTCAATAGTGCACCTGAGTCTCACAGTTTCTTTCTTCCTAGTGTCATTTTCTGTGCACTGCTCCCCATCTGTTATGCCTACTGGAAAATGAGTTGTCTATTTCATTTAGATGCCCATCCAGAAAGACATAACATTCATGTATTTCTGGTTTAGACCCTTTGTGAACTATCCAATTCAGAATCCCTTTGGAATGTACCAGAAGCAATTAAACATCATTCACTCAATGCTTTTCTCGTTTTAGTCTGGTTTCTGTAAATTAATATTCATATTCCTTTCCCTTGGATAGTTTCTAATTTCCAAGGAAATCAGAACTTGTTTAAATCTTACTCCAAGTCCCGCTTGGTGCTCCTCGCCCGCCACCCGTGCGCCCAGTCCGCGAGGCCAGTCCAGTTCTCCCGGTCCGCACTGCCCGCCGGCCGGCCTGTCTGTCCCCCACCGCAACCATGGACGCCATCAAGAAGAAGATGCAGATGTTAAAACTGGACAAGGAGAATGCCATCGACCGCGCAGAGCAGGTCGAGGCCGACAAGAAGCAAGCTGAGGACCGCTGCAAGCAGCTGGAAGAGGAGCAGCAGGCCCTCCAGAAAAAGCTCAAAGGGACGGAGGACGAGGTGGAAAAGTATTCTGAGTCAGTGAAGGATGCCCAGGAGAAGCTGGAGCAGGCTGAGAAGAAAGCCACTGACGCTGAGGCAGATGTGGCCTCCTTGAACCGCCGCATTCAGCTGGTAGAGGAGGAGCTGGACCGGGCGCAGGAGCGTCTGGCTACAGCCCTGCAGAAGCTGGAGGAGGCTGAGAAGGCAGCTGATGAGAGCAAGAGAGGAAGGAAGGTCATCGAAAACCGAGCTATGAAGGATGAGGAGAAGATGGAGCTGCAGGAGATGCAGCTGAAGGAGGCCAAGCACATCGCCGAGGATTCGGGCCGCAAATATGAGGAGGTGGCCAGGAAGCTGGTGATCCTGGAAGGAGAGCTGGAGCGCTCTGAAGCGAGAGCTGAGGTGGCTGAGAGTAAATGTGGGGACCTTGAGGAGGAGCTGAAAATTGTTACCAACAACTTGAAATCCCTGGAAGCCCAAGCGGATAAGTATTCCACCAAAGGAGATAAATATGAAGAGGAGATCAAACTGCTGGAGGAGAAGCTAAAGGAGGATGAGACCCTAGCGGAGTTTGCCGAAAGGTTGGTGGCCAAGTTGGAGAAAACCATCGATGACCTGGAAGAGACCTTGGCCAGTGCCAAGGAGGAGAACGTGGAGATCCACCAGACCCTCGACCAGACACTGCTGGAGCTCAACAACCTCTGAGGGTTAGCCCTGCCCCAGCCAGGCTAGCTGCCACCCCACCAATAAACGGATGTCACCAGGAAAAAAAAAAAAAAAAAAAAAATCTTACTCCAGCTTTCAAGTGTTGTTGCACTTAAAGCAGCTTAAAATGAACAACTTGGAAATAGGTAAAGAAGACAATGACAGCTCGATATTCTGCACCAAGATGATGAAAAATCAGAAAGCTTATTCCTGTCCCAAAGCCACATCCCTGGCGGAGCATTCTGAAACATTCATCCTTGGAGTTCTGATGCTCTTTTGGTGAACAAACATGGTCTGTCAGGTACAGTGGCAATATCCAGATTTAGGAAAACTCAACAGATTGACATTTAAAGATGACAAATATTGGACAGGAGCCTGTATGTGTAGTTGTCTGCAAAATATACTAAAAGGAAAAAAAAAGGTTTCTTAGCTTGGAAGGTGTGAGGGGCATGTTCATATTTTCTTAAATGCAGGAGGGTACTTAGGCAATATGGCATAAATCTAAGCCAAATGTATTAATAATCTTTCAAGCCAGCCTGAAGTTACTATTTTTTTACTTCTACCTAGTATTTACCTGACTCCTTATAACTGCAGGAGGTAGACTGAGTTCATGTACTGTGTGGAGGCCTTGATTACTCATGTCACTCTGTCACTAAAGCAGGTAGATGTTTATATAGTAGTAGTAGTGAAAGTCACTCCGTCGTGTCCGACTCTTGCAAACCCATGGACTCTAGTCCACCAGGCTTCTCTGTCCATGAGATTCTTAATACACAAATAAATACTGGAGTGAGTTGCCATTTCCTTCTCCGGGGGATCTTCCCGACCCAGGAATCGAACCCGTGTCTCCTGCGTTGCAGGCAGATTCTTTCTTGACTGAGCTATGAGGGAAGCCGATGTTTATATAATCTGACGTTTTCTACCCTCTCACATTCTCTCTTTGTTCTCTTACACCTGGAATGATTCCATTGCTTTCTAATTAGTATTGTAACCAGGTTGTTCCTAACTGGTTCTTCTTAATTAGTTTCTCCAGCACCTA